TGCTAGTCATGACCAATCACCATACCAAGTTTGAAGTTCCTAGGCCTAAGGGTTCTTTAGTTATTGATCGGAAACCGTTTTTACCTAAGAGGTCAATGTGACCTTGACCTTTGACCCATTGACCCCAAAATCAATAGGGGTCATCTGCTGGTAATAACCAATCACCATACCAAGTTTGAAGTTCCTAGGCCTAAGCATTCTTAAGTTATTGATCGGAAACCGTTTTTACCCAAGAGGTCAATGTGGACTTGACCTTTGATCCCTTGACCCCAAAATCAATAGGGGTCATCTACTGATCATGACCAATCACCATACCAAGTTTGAAGTTCCTAGGCCTTAAGGTTCTTTAGTTATTGATTGGAAACCGTTTTTGCTTACAAGGTAAATGTGACCTTGACCTTTGACCCCTTGACCCCAAAATCAATAGGGGTCATCTACTGGTTATGACCAATCACCATATTAAGTTTGAAGTTCCTAGGCCTAAGGGTTCTTTAGTTATCACTCGGAAACCATTTGGTCTACGGACTGACGGATAGACGGACCGAGAAGTGCAAAGCAATATACCCCCTCTTCTTCGAAGTGGGGGCATAATAAGAAATGAATGCATATATTTTAATGATTACATAATAATGTGGACCATTATTGCAGCACATAGTTTACATATTCTATTCTTCAATGTTTGAAAATTGTTTTAGAAATATATATAATTACAACATACAGGATCTTTAGTAAGATGTACAAAACATAATTAATAATATAATACATTTCACCCTATTATTATAGAAAGATATTTTAACATTTGTTAGGATAAATGTAAAACATTATTCAACTCATATAAATACAGTAAATATAATTACAATCAAAGGCATACAAAAATCAAAGTCTGAATAATACATAGATAGCTATTTATAAAGCAAAATGTTCCATGCAGCCATAACTTTTAGTTTTTAAAATAAAATATTGATTCATTATAAAATATTTATTCATTAAAAACTTTATTTTTAACTACATGTTTTTAAAATAGCTTTTTATGTTTATTCAAATGAACAATATAAAATGATTCCAACTGAAAACATAAAATTTGATATTCTTACAATGATCAACTAAACCACTTAAAATAGAAAATCTGCAAAAAAAATAATGTAATATACTCATAAGTTAACAGAAGATAAATACTAAGTCAATCTTAAGCCTGATTTGAATGAAAGGCATTTTTTTTTTATTATGCCCCCGGGACATATAGTGTTACCCTGTTCCGTCATTCTGTCATTCCGTCATCATCAGTTTCCGTTCATTATCTTAAGAACGGTTGCACACATTCTACTCAAATTTGACATATGGATATGTCATGAGAAAATACAGGTCAAGTTCGAATTTGGTCATGGTTCGATGATTTTTGGCAGAGTTATGCCCCTTTTACTTTGAAAATAATATGAAATTTCAGTTTCCGTTCATTATCTCCCCAACGGTACAACACATTCAATTCAAACTTGACATATGGATACGTCATGAAAAAATACAGGTCAAGTTCGAATTTGGTCATGGTTCGATGATTTTTAGCAGAGTTATGCCCCTTTTACTTTGAAAATAATATGAAATTTTCAGTTTCCGTTCATTATCTCCCCAACGGTACAACACATTCAACTCAAACTTGACATATGGATACGTCATGAGAAAATACAGGTCAAGTTCGAATTTGGTCATGGTTCAATGATTTTTGGCACAGTTATGCCCCTTTTACTTTGAAAATAATATGAAATTTTTAGTTTCCGTTCATTATCTCCCCAACGGTACAACACATTCAACTCAAACTTGACATATGGATATGTCATAAGAAAATACAGGTCAAGTTCGAATTTGGTCATGGTTCGATGATTTTTGTCAGAGTTATGCCCCTTTCACTTTGAAAATAATATGAAATTTACAGTTTCTGTTAATTATCTACCCAACAGTGTTACATATTCAACTTAAATTTGACATATGGATATGTCAAAGGAATGGGCAGGTCAAGTTGGAATTTGGTCATGGTTTGATGATTTTTTGGCAGAGTTGTGTCCCTTTTCACTTTGAAAAAATAATATGATACATCTTAGGGAATAAGCAGTTTAAGTTTGAATTTGGTCCTGGTTTCAATGATTTTTAGACAAACTTATCTTTCCTGAATGTTGGAAAAAATTTGAACTTTCAAGTTTCAGCACTCATACTTTTAGCCATATTTTGGCTACAAATATGCAATATGCTATTTTTAAGTTAAGACTGAATAATTTCAGTGCCTTGAACATTGTATGAAAATGGTTTGCGTTAACATTGAAAAGTTTTAAGGGCTTTGAACTTAAAATGAAAAAAATAATTAATGCACCATCTGAAATTTTGGCTGCATGCGGGGGCATCCGTGGCATGATGACACATTTCTAGTTTATTTGCATCATTTTGCGCAATACAAATGATTATTCTGGTAAAATGGTTAAAAACTTGCTCACAGGTTACTGGTTCAGACCTTTATCAGAAATGTATACAAACCACTAAATATTTCCTGTCCTGTAATGTCAAATAATGATTTTAATCATTGCCAACTCTTAGCTGCATACCTTTGTGAGACATAAATATCATACTACTGTCATAGAAATAAACATTCTCTTGTAACAGACAAATATTTAAGGGATACGTTTACAAAATCTAATTATAATTCTAATAAATACAAAATGAATTACGATAAATAAACAGAATAATTCTGAAAATACTAATACAAAATGAATAAGGTGCTTCCGAGGGATCACTTTGTTCCCAGATTTTTATAATGAACAACAGCAGGTGATAAGTGCTGTGTGGCAGCTGTAAAAAGTTGCCCTGTACTTCACTTCAATGTTAATTTTTTCTAGTCCTTTGGGATCATTAAGTATTGCGATTTGAGTACCACTGAAGCTGGTGCTAGGGAGCTTGAGGGATGTTGCACTTATTCATTATCCCTCATGTACAGACTCAATTAAACTGAGTCTGCAATTTTCATTTAATGTTGATCCATTTGTTTCCAGATTTTTTTTACCCTTTTACAATTACATATGCACTAGAATAAAGGCCCCTGACAGACTTAAAAATACTCGTTTTAAATACAAATCAAACAGAGATGGTGACATCAAACTATGTGTGTTTCACAGCTCTCAATGTATTCATATTCTCAAGAATTTCATTAATTAACATATCTTCATAAACTTAAGGCAAATGTTATTACTACTATATAAAAACATGTTCTGTATCATAAACAAATAATTGATCTTTTTACTTAATGTTAGAATCTATATTATCAAAGTGACAATATGTTTGCTTGTTCATTGCCAAGCTGAGCCTGGGATCATAAGTAGAACTGAAATGGCTATACATGTATATTTAAAAAGATTGACTCTGTTAATGGGGACTGACCAAAAATTTATCATATTAACAAAATAAGAAAAAAATATAACAACTCTCTAAAATATTTTTAAGTTTTTGCTATACACATATAAAGAATATCAATGACCCCCGGGATGGGGCCAATTTTAACCCCAGGGCTTTTATTTGAACAAACTTTGTAGACACTTACTAGAAGATGTGTCATGCTTAATATCTAAACTTTAGCTATTTGGGTTTTTTCAAAGAAGATTTTTAAGTTTTTGCTATACACATATAAGGAAAATCAATGTCCCCTGGGGCGGGGCCAATTTTCATTTGAACAAACTTTGAAGACACTGACTAGAAGATGCTTCGTGCTTAATATCTAAACTCTAGCTTATTTGAGTTTTATAAAGGAAGAATTTTTTTAGAAGAATTTGTTAATTCACATTTAAGGAAATTGTTGAATGACCCCCGGGCGAGCCTAATTTTTGACGCCCAGGGCTTTTATTTAACAAAACTTGTTAGACAACTCACTAGAAGGATGTTTCATGCTAGCCATCTAAACTCTATCTATTTGTTTTTTTTCAAAGAAAAATTTTTAAGTTTTTGCTTTACACATATAAGTAAAATCAATGACCCCCGGGGCGGGGCCAATTTCGACCCCAGGGCTCATATTTGAACAAACTTGGTAGACATCCATTAGAACATGTTTCATGCTGAATATCTTAGCTTTAGCTCTTTGGGTTCTTTAAAAGAAGATTTTTTAAGTTTTTACTATATGCGTATAGGGAAAATCTATGACCCCCTGGGCGGGGCCAATTTTGACCCGGGGCTTTTATTTGAACAAACTTGGTAGACACCCATTAGAAGATGTTTCATGCTAAATTTCTTATCTATAGCTCTTTGGGTTCTTTAAAATAAGAATTTTTTAGTTTTTACTATATGCATATAGTGAAAATCAATGACTCCCTGGGGGCCAATTTTGACCCCAGGGCTTTTATTTAAACAACTTGGTAGACACTCACTAGAAGATGTTTCATGCTAAATATCTAAGCTCTAGCTCTTTGGGTTCTCAAGAAGAAGATATTTAAAGTTTTTTCTTTTGGTTGCCATGGCAACCAGAGTTCTGCATGGAATTGAATTATTTGAACAATTTTCAAAGTTGAGCACCAAAGAAACATTCCTGTGAAGTTTGGATGAAATTGGCTTAGTGGTTTATGAGGAGATGTCATTTAAAGTAAAAGTTTACGGACGCCCGGACGGACGCGGACGATAAAGCGATCACAAAAAAGCTCACCCTGTCACTTTGTGAACAGGTGAGCTAAAAACTGCCCCCACTCTTTTTATCCATTGAATAGTGAACTATATATCCCAAGGATATTTATAGAAATTGTGTAAGTCACATTGGTTTTTGATTATACACATTGAATTCACAAATGCAGTTATGGCATAACCTAATTTTTTTTGCCATTGCCCCTTTACCAACACCATTAACACTTGATGGGCATAATGTCCCTTGAAAATTTACATAAATTTATGTTAAGCATCACAGATAAACAACGAGTCATAAAAAAGTCTATTTCATCCAATGTCATTATCTATCGTCTTCTTAAACGATAGGCGGGAAGGGTTTTGTATATCATCAACAGTGACACCCTTAAATTTTTAGTTCGGCAGTCACTCTGTCTAGATATGTATGGTCAGGATAACCAAATCTGTGAAATATAAAAAAGTGTAGAATATCATTGCAATTTTACCCTTTTTATTACACTATATTATAAACATGCGCAAGATACAAAAGTAAACAAGAGGGCCATGATTGCCCTGAAGTCGCTAACCTGTATATAGGCCCCCAGAGCGGGGCCAGTTTAAACCCCAGGGCTTATATTTGAGCAAACTTGGTAGACACCCATTAGAAGATGTTTCATGCTAAACATCTAAGGTCTAGCTCGTTGAGTTTTTAAAAAGAAGATTTTTTAAGTTTTAACTATACACATATAGTTAAAGGCAATGACATCCCCAGGGCGGGGCCAGTTTTGACCCAAAGGCTTTTGTTTGAACAAACTTTGAAGAAACTCACTAGAAGATGTTTCATGTTTAATATCTAAACTCTAGCTATTAAGTTTTTTTCTAAGAAGATTTTTTAAAGTTTTTGCTATACACATATAAATAAAATCAATGACCCCCGGGGCGGGGCAAATTCTGACCCAAGGGCTTTTATTTGAACAACATTTGTAGACACTCACTAGAAAATGTTTCATGCTGAATATCTAAACTCTCGCTCTTAAGTTTTTTTCTAAGAAGATTTTTTAAGTTTTTGCTATACACATAAATAAAATCAATGACCCCCGGGGCGGGGCAAATTCTGACCCAAGGGCTTTTATTTGAACAAACTTTGTAGATACTCACTAGAAGATGTTTCATGCTTAATATCTAAACTCTAGCTCTTTAGTTTTTTTCTAAGAAGATTTTTTTAAAGTTTTTGCTATACACATTAATAAAATCAATGACCCCCTGGCGGGGCCAATTTTGACCCAAGGGCTTTTATTTGAACAATCATTGTAGACACTCACTAGAAGATGTTTCATGCTTAGTATCTATACTCTAGCTATTTGTTTTTTTTTTTTTCAAAGAAGATTTTTTTTAAAGTTTTTGCTAATTTACACATATAAGGAAAATCATTGACCCCCGGGGCAGGGCCAATTTTGACCCAAGGGCTCTTATTTTAACAAATTTGGTAGACACCCATTATAAGATGTTCCATATTAAATATCTTAGCTCTTTGGGTTCTTTAAAAGAATTTTTTTAAGTTTTTACTATATGCATATAGGGAAAATCAATGACCCCCTGGCGCCAGGCCAATTTTGACCCCAGGGATTTTATTTGAACAAACTTGGTAGACACCCATCAAAAGATGTTTCATGCTTAATATCTTAGCTCTATCTATTTGGGTTCTTTAAAAGAAGACTTTTTAAGTTAATACTATATGCATTTAGGGATAATCAATGACCCCCGGGGCCGGCCAATTTTGACCCCAGGGCTTTTATTTGAATAAACTTGATAGACACTCACTAGAAGATGTTTCATGCCAAATATCTAAGCTCTACCTTTTTGGGTTTTTTAAAAGAAGATATATTAAGTATTTTCTATCGGTTGCCATGGCAACCAGAGTTCTGCATGGAATTAAATTCTTTGAATAATTTTAAAGGTGACCACCAAAGGAACATTCCTGTGAAGTTTGGATGAAATTGGCTGAGCGGTTTATGAGGAGATGTCATTTAAAGTAAAAGTTTACGGACGTCGGACAACGGACGGACGACGGCCGGACACCGGACGGAAAGCGATCACAAAAGCTCACTCTGTCACTTTGTGACAGGTGAGCTAAAAATAACCAAAAAGAAATTCATCAACTTATAATTCTGTAAAATCCAGAAAACATGACAACATGTTTTGAAAAGAATTTTTAATTTTTGCTAATATGATTGCCAAAACTATGTTCAGCAAGCATTGAATGTCATCAACTTAAACATTTAAATGAAAATTCCTAGTTTGATTATATATTTTAAGCTTTTTTTATTTGTCTGAGTTTTGTCAGGGTATTTTGTCTAGTTTTACCTGTAAAAAAAGACCTAAGATGCCCATTCCAGCGTTATTTCAGGCACAAACCAGCATCTTGGTAGAACTTTCAACTTGATGGTTAAAGATATTTAAAGTTTTACTGCCTAGTTTAGTCCTGAAAACTGAATAAAGTTTATTTTCCTAAATGAACTGAAAACAAAATTTATCCTGTTTACAGGCTTAAATCAGACAGTAAAACTAAAGTTTTGTGCGCTACATTTTTTTTGGTATTCTAAAGATTTCCTAGAATAAAAACATTTTATCTTCGAGTTGACAGGATATCAGTCCAATTGGGAGCATTTTGCAGGTGTGCGATTAGGTAGTATCCTACCATAGGTGTACGATGAGGTAGTATCCTACCATAGGTGTACGATGAGGTAGTATCCTACCATAGGTGTACGATGAGGTAGTATCCTACCATAGGTGTACGATGAGGTAGTATCCTACCATAGGTGTACAATGAGGTAGTATCCTACCATAGGTGTACGATGAGGTATTATCCTACCATAGGTGTACGATGAGGTATTATCCTACCATAGGTGTACGATGAGGTATTATCCTACCATAGGTGTACGATGAGGTATTATCCTACCATAGGTGTACGATGAGGTATTATCCTACCATAGGTGTACGATGAGGAAGTATCCTACCATAGTCTAAGCTAGCTGGAAAGTTTCCTCACATGAAGGAAATCCAGACCCTGGAGGGATTCGAACCCACAGCAGTGAGGACAAGATTGTCTTAACAACTATGTAACAGACACCTCTACTATCAAATAGAAGGTACATGAAAGAAGAAAAGTATGATTAGGCAGATGGAAAACAGACATAACTCAGTTTTACTTACAAACGTTTGTGTGCATATTGTATGATGTGGATACTGTATGGTGTGTTTTGAGCTACATTACAATTTCTTGCATTTTAGTGGATAAGAGTTTGGATACATACTGTGTGTTTGGTTTTTGATCTGTTTTATGATGAATATCATTCCAAGTGATTACACCTTCAGCTCCAGTTGTGCGGGAGTTTCCAATTGTGAAAACAAGTTTTCTCTCAAAGGCAACCTTCAGCATTTCACAGATTTCCTGGCCTCTTCTGTTATTTGGCAGGTATGCTTTTCTCGTGATACCTTTGAACCTTGCATTTGGACGCGGATGGGTAGGCTGTCAATACAGATCACGAAAATCATTAAAATGTTATTTAAATACAAACAATTCACATACACAAAAGGTATAATAATATTCATCAGATCTGCTCTATGAAATTTTGTAACCAGTAGAAATTGTTATTCATTATGATAAATTATCTACTTATAGAATAATAGCATTAATCAAAATACTGTTACTTTATGTAGTATATTACCCCTTGTGTTCCATCAGGAAATTTGTATGTTATTTCTATTCTACCACACCCTTCAAAACCTTCACATGAAGCCCTGTCATTAACAAACACATCCATGTCACCTAATGGTTGGTCACCTGAAATAATTCATTTGGTTATCATTAAATCAGCTCAACAATGAATCATTACTTCAGGAGTCTTCTGTCAATTTAATTATTATACCTTATATACAATAACATCAAATAAAAAGAAATGATCAAACCTTTTTTGTGGATATTGTGAGAAAATATTTTCTCAGATAAAGTGATTCATTACCAACTAAAAATATCAAAGACAAAACTTACATAAAAATTGAGGTGATTACTTCTAAGAAATACAGAGATTTGTAAGACATTTTCAATGCATGTTTCTTTAAATTGAAGCAATCAAGACATTAAAAAAATCCAACAATCCATGAATTCGCTATTAAGATATAAGTGTAATGAAGAGATTATTTCAGTGATTACTGCTATAAATTGGAAAATGTTTGCATGATTTTTACTCTGAAATCCACTTTCAGTTATTGATCAACAACCAATTATAAACTTCAGATATTGAGGATATGTGGTAAAATACACCTTCCGTACTAAATTTGCTGAATCTGTTTCATAATGAACTGATCTAAGGTTAAAGAATATACACAAGATGCATTCAATGTAACACCAACTTACCACAAATTTTTAATCATATCAAATAAAATAATCAGTTATTCAAGAGAATAAATAGCTACAAGTCAAGCAACCACTAAAATACCTGTTATTATTCCGCAAACCTTTCTATATGTTGGGCGTGATTCTTCAAAACAGCCTGGAGCTAACAACTGAATAATAAATAACATACAGTCCCATTTTTTCTCCCTTGAAAATAACCGAAAGATTCCTGATATCATCAGATTATTAATTATTTAATGCCAAGTATAATCTCAAATTCGAAACTATTGAAAGGATCAGTGAAAGGTGTGCCTTAATTCATTGTAGGATGAACTTCAGTCAAGACCTTTGAAAGTTAAAAAAACAAGAGGGTCATTATGGCCTGATAGCCCTGAAATCGATTACCTGAATATAGAAACTTTCCCAAACATGGAACAAGTAATATTGTAAACTATAAAATAGAAATATGTCCATAGGACACGGGTGACCCCACACTCCAACGATTTGTCAATTTAATGTCTCTAGGTCAAGTTGAAAACTAAGAATCTTTTATAAAGTAAAGGGCAAATACTACAAATACTGAATAAATCCATAAGAAAACCCCAAGGTGCATAAGTACACATGCTGACCAACATTCTTGTAAACTTTTAGGCCTACAGGTCAAGTACTTTTTTGGTAATTTGCAACACAAGTTGAATCTTGTAAATTGTTACTAAGTCGAGGGCAATAACTCTTAAAATACCAAGAACCCTGTACAGTGAGTGGCATGTACATTTGTTTATACCAACAATTTGTTAATTTGTGTACAGTCAGCAAAAGTTGAAAAACTGCGGAACCGGTCAAACAACTGTATCCTGGCTTCTTATATAGGACATTTCGTGTGTCGCAAAAAATGTAAACTAGAAATGTGTCCATAGGACACGGGTGCCCCCACCACGCCACTGTTTTGTCAATCGTATGACTCTAGGTCAAATATTTTTTGAAAACTAAAAATATTTAACTAAGTAAAGGGCAAGAACTTTTGACTTTACAAATACTGAATAAATCCACAAGCAAACCCCAAGGTGCATAAGTACACATGCTGACCAACATTCTTGTAAACTTTCAGGCCTTCAAATGAAATACTGTTTGAGCTATGCATGAACAAATTGACAATTGCAAATTTATACTACTGTAAGACAAGGGCAATAACTCTTACAAACCTGAAAAACAATCCACATGCAAAGTCCCATGTTCATAGCTTCGATCACAGTGATGTGAATCATTATTCATGTAATTTAGTGATGTTGATCATTATTCCTGTAAAGTTGGTTGATTGTTACTCAAGGAACAAATAACAACAAAATGAAACGATTTTTACTAAGTCAAGGGAAATAACTCTACAAATACTGAATAAATCCACTAGCAAAACTTGATTCTAACTCAAGCACTCAAGGAACAAATAACAACATAATGAAAAGGTTTTTACTAAGTCAAGGAAATAACTCTACAAATACTGGATAAATCCACAAGCGAAACCCCAGGTGCAAAATTAAATATGCTGAGTAACCTCCCCGTAAGGTTTAATGACTATGTCAAATCCTTTTTGAGTTTCATGCAACACAAGTTGAAAATTGCAAAAATTTTACTAAGTTAAGGGCAATAACTCTAAAAATACTAAAGTCTTAATAAATCCAGATGAAATTACCAAGGTGCACAACTCACATGCTGAGCAACATTCCTGTAATGTTTCATAACTCTAGGTCAAATATGTTTTGGGTTACGTGCGACACAAGCTGAAAATTGGACATCTTTACTAAATAAATTCAAGGGCAATAACTCTAAAAATACTAAATATATCCAAACGGAAATTCCCATGTGCACAACTACACATGCTGAGCAACATTCTTGTTACGCTCCCTTCGCAGCTTACTGAATACACTCCCGTTACTTCAGACCGCTGCTGTAATACCCGTCGATTCATGATATTGACCTTTACCGTGAACTTTAAACGACCAATGAAAGTTTTCCAAATTCCAAATCAGCCTAAAATCTTTATACGCATTTTCATTGGTTGAAACAGATGACGTGTGTACAAAATTATAAATAGACGGGTATTTCCTCAAAATTATGTAAACAAAATACAAGAAATAGCGTAACCGGCGCCAGACATCATTACAGAAGTTTGTTTTTCGTGCAACCATTGAACAAAATTTGGATACATTTGATTGTTCTCAACATGGTCATTTAAGTAACTTTGTTTTTCAAGGAAAAGCGCACCTTCATCGACATAATTTGCGAGAGAAACCAATTTCCGCGATCTAGATTTACAGTAGCCTACTGTACATCGGAATAAAAGACATTGACAGGACAAATTTTGTATGTCTACTGTACTCTGATTCAGACAACTCTATATCATGTGTGAGGAAGATGCACCTATAAGTGATGTTGAAGAGAATAGAGATTGTACTGTATTTGATAAAGTAGCCAATAGTACACCAGTCTGATCTGCAGGTGTCAAGACAGTTCAGGTGTCAATATGGTATGAATTTTGATTTATGTTAAAACATTTGAGTTTGTGATAATGTGTTAGTAATGTGACATTATTTTTCACTGTCCAGATTGTTTCAATAGACAGACTATTTGAATTGTGATTGAACAAAAATTAATGATAGTTGATCAGTGAATCCTAAATATAAAAAGACTGCCACACTTTTTTAATAAAATGACAGCCACACTTTTTTAATAAAATGACAGCCACACTCCTTTAATAAAATGACAGTTTATGAAGGATATTTACAAATATTTTTGTGGTTAACAGGATTTATTTACTCAGTTATTTTAATTTAAATGATCACAGAATCATGACAAATGCATACCTACCAAGGAAAAACATGATTCAGCACCCTTAAATTAGCATTACTCTGGTCTTTATTAGATATCAGTTCAACCACCTAGACCATCTTACCACCCTTATTTAACAGTAGTTCAATAATTTAAGTTAAATGTAAAATCTAATTCTGTAGCGAAGAAAACCACGTCTTGCCAGTTCACTTACCCGGCATGCA